ATCATGGAATTATGGGATCAATTAGGTTGGGAAAAACCCTTGGAGACGCCTGAATCCAGCCACTCCTCCCAGCTCTGCCAAGGCCACCACCATGTCCCCAAGTGCCACATCCACAGGGATGGAAAATCCCCCCAGGAACGGGGATCCACCCCTGCCCAGTTGGAAAACTCTTTCCATGTAGGAATTTTCCCAAAACTCCAAGCTAAACCTTTCCTGGCACAATCTGGGACTGTCCCTCATCCTGAGTGTCACCTCCCTGTCCTGGCCCTAAAAAGGGCTGGAAAACACCGGGGTCGCTTGAATCTGAGCTTGGCATTGAACTCCTGACCCTGACAGCAAATCCCCTAATCCATCCCATCCCATCCCATCCCATCCCATCCCATCTCATCCCATCTCATCCCATTGCATTTCCTCCCCATCTCATTTTTTCCCACCCCATTTCATCCCAATTCCATCTCATCCCAAATCATCCCAATTCTGTTCCATCCATCCATCCATCCATCCATCCATCCATCCATCCATCCCATCCCAATTCCATCCCATCCCAATTCCATCCCATCCCATCCCATCCCATCCCATCCCATCCCATCAGAAATTTATGGGAATTCCACCCCATCTACTGACCCCTTTTTGCCTCCTCCACCTCGGATTTTCCATCCCATAATGACATCAGGAAGGGGCACTTTTCCCTTCAGGATTCTGGCGGGTTCTCCCAGAAAAAGCCAAATCCATGGATATGAGTTGCCCTGGGGATTTGGGATAGGTTTGGGACGCTCCTGCCACTTCCCAGCTCATCCCAAGGACCTCAGAGCTCTCCTCGGCATCTCCAAGGAAATATTCCCCAATGGAAACAATGGAATCAATGGAAACAATGGAATCAATGAGGTTAATCAAACTCATTGAACATTATTTATATCTGCAGATTAATTAGGAAAAGCACTGGGAGGTGGAGTGGATCCCGGGAGGGAAGAGGAATTCCCTGGATGGTGGAAGCAACTTTGGCTCTGAAATTCTGTCCTGCTCTCCTGGCAGATCCCTCCTTTCCCCTGGGTGATCTCACCCTCATTTCCAGGTGATTCCCATAATTTCTGGGTGATCCCATCCTCATTCCTGGTTGATTACCATTTTCTTTGAGTGATTCCCATCATTTCTGGGTGATCCCATCCTCAGTCCTGGCTGATTTCCATCTTTTTTGGGTGATCCCCCTCTCCCTGCCTGATCCCTCCTCTTCTCCCAGCGATTCGCTCTCTCCCAGCCCAATCCCTCATTCCTGGAGCACAACTCCGAGCCAAAAAATCCCAAATCCCACTCTCCCCGACAAATCCTGCCTCCAACTCTCCCAAACAGCTGCCAGGAGAGTAAAACCAGAAACTAAATCCCCTTTTACCCCTATTTCCAGCAGGATTTCTGCAAGGTCCCAGCCCTGCTCCCGGGAATGCTGCAGCATTCCAGCTGCGATCACACCGTGTCTCTTCCCATCTCGTCACATTCCCTCCTCGCCGGGATGAATCATCCTTCCCCCTCCCTTCCCAAACATCCACAGGCACAAAAAAAATCCCAACCCTGGTGGGCCCTTTTTCCTTTCCTTTTCCTTTCCTATTTCCTTTCCTATTTCCTTTCCCTTTCCTTTCCTTTCCTTTCCTTTCCTTTCCTTTCCTTTCCTTTCCTTTCCTTTCCTTTCCTTTCCTTCAGGGTTCCCATCACATCCACAGGGAAAAGTCGGGAGCAGCTTCCTCGGAATTAAAGATTTAATTCCAAGAATTTGTCTTGGAATTAAAATCCAGCTCAAGGAAGGGCTGGAAAGGATCTGTCCCCCATCCCCCCAAAAAAAAAAGAGCCAGGAGATGCTGTTGATTGGGATTCACCACTAAAATTCCATAAATTCTGGGAGCTGTTCTGGGAATGAATCACCAGAAGCGGCCAAAATTCTGGGATTAGTGCAAAAGTTGGATTTATCCTGGTTTGGAGGAGCTGGGTGGGGACAGGAGGGGCTGGAGGTGACTTTTCCCTCTCCAGGTCACATCCAGGTGGGATCAGCACCTTCCAGACCCAAAGGGGGCTTGGAAAAGTTGGTTTAAAGCTCTTGGAATTCCCGAGGAAAACATCCTGGCCGTGAAAATCCAGGAACGAGGAAAATGGGGAATGCCTGAGTGTGAAACCACCCCTGGAGAGAGGAAGAGGAGGAATTTGGGAATTGTGAGTGGCTGGGAAAAATCGGGGAGCCAGGAAGGTTCTGGAAACTGGGAGCTGGCTGCAGGGAAGGAAAAATGGTGTGAAAAGCAGGGAAAGGAATTTAAGGAGACAGGGATGAAGGAGGGAAGGGGGAGAGCGGAGCAGAAGCGACAGCGCCCGGCCCACGGGGTGGGAATTTTCTCACCCAGGGATGGAGGCAGCAGCCGGGCTCCAGAGAAAAGATGGGAATTTCATCCCTGAGGAAAGGCTGTGACCCCTGAGCCCTGGCACCCTGCTGGGCACATCCTCCGTGCCCGGGGGACAAACGCTGGCCACGGAGAGAGCCTGGGATGGGGAATGTGGAAAGAGGGATTTGGGAAAGGGAATTTGGAAAGTGGGATTTGGAAGGGGGGATTTGGGAAGAAGGATCCTGGGAAGGGGGATTTGGGAAATGGGATTGGGAAGAGGAATTTGGGAAGGAAGATTTGGGATCTGGGATTTGGGAATTTGGGAAGGGGGATTCTGGGAAGCGGGATCTTGAGAAATGGAATTTGGGAAGTGGGATCCTGGGAAGGGGAATGTGGAAAGGGGGGATTTGGGAAAAGGAATTTGGAAAGTGGGATTTGGGAAGGGGGATTTGGGAAGAGGGATGTGGGAAGAGGCATGTGGGAAAGGGGATTTAGGAAGGGAGATTTGGGAAAGGGGATGTGGGAAGGGGGACCCTGAGAAGAGGGATTTGGGAAGAGGGATCCCATGCCAGGGACACACAGCTTGTCCCTTGTCACCTGTCACTCCCAGCTCTGTGGAGGTGACACCGGGGCCCCAGGAGGAGGAATCCTGGGAAAAGGGAATTGCTGTGCAGCTCCAGCTCCCTGGAATCCTCTGCTCCCGCTTTGCACAGTTCCCCACGGATCTGTGGAGGGGACACGGGGACAGTGGCAAGAGGGGCCTTGAGGAAGGGACTCTGCCAGGGGACAAAGCTGTCCCTGCAGTGTGACACGGCCAGCCACCTGTGACAGCGCCAGCTCCATGGGGGTGACATGGGGACCTCGGGAAGAGAAATCCCAGGGAAAAGGAACTCAAAGAAGAGGGATTCCAGGAAAAGGGACACCGGGAAGAAGGACACTGGGAAAAGGGAGCCCTCACCAGGGGGACAAAGCTGTTCCCACAGAGTGACATGGCCAAAGCTATCGGTGACCCTCGTGGACAATGGAGGTGACGCTGGGACCTCGGGAAGAGAATTCCTGGGAAGAGGAACCCCAAGAAGAGGAATCCCAGAAAAGTGGAACCCTCACCAGGGGGACAAAGCTGTTCCCGCAGTGCGACACAGCCAAGCCCATCCATGACACTCCCAGCTCCGTGCAGGTGACACTGGGACCTTGGGAAAAGAAATCCTGGGAAGAGGGACCCAAAGAAGAGGGATTCCAGGAGGAGGGACACTAGGAAGAAGGACACTGGGAAAAGGGACCCCTCCCCAGGGGGACAAAGCTCTTCCCACAGAGTGACGCAGCCAAGGCCACCCGTGACCCTCCTGGCTCCGTGGAGGTGACACTGGGACCTCAGGAAGAGAAATCCCAGGAAGGGGAACCCCAAGAAGAGGAATCCCAGGAAAAGGGACCCCTCACCAGGGGACAAAGCGGTTCCCACAGAATGACACAGCCGAGGCCACCCGTGACCCTCCCAGCTCCATGGAGGCGACACTGGGACCTCAGCAAGAGAATTCCTGGGAAGAGGAACCTCAGGAAGAGAGTTCCCAGGAAAAGGGACCTCAGGAAAAAGGACATGGGGAAAAGGGACCCCTCACCAGGGGGACAAGACTGTTCCTGCGTGTGACATGGTCACCTGAGACCCTCCTGGCTCCACGGAGGTGACACTGGGACCTTGGGATCAGGGAACCCAAGGCCACTTTTCTCCTGACCACAGCACAGCCAAATCCCACCTCAAATCCTCCTCCTCACCGAAATCCCCCTAATCCACCACCAAAAAAATCCTGGAATGCTGATTTACCCCTCACCCAGCAGCAAGATCCCCCCAATTCCCATCCCTTGGAGCCATGGCCTGGCTGCCCACAGCTGGGATGGGTTTGGTCCATAAAAAAAGGTTGGAAAAATTGGAATTATTTCCTGTATAAATCAAGGGAAGCTATGCCATTGCCAGACTCGGCAGGAACAGGGTGGATGAGGCAGAATATTTATAATTATTATAATATTACTATTATTATTACATAAATACCATTATTAATATTATTTAATTAATTACGATTACTATTTAATAAAAAATTTCTAAGCCAAAGCCATCAGAGGCACCAACCTCACAGCTCACCCCACCCATTCTCCTGGCTCTCCCCAGCACAGGAAAACCAGGAAAATCCCTTCCCATCATCCAGGGAAGGCGATGGAGAAGAGATCCAGGGCTAATTCCTGGATTGGGGTGCAGGAAAAGTGGGAGCAGCCCCCACAGACACCAACCCCCACCATGTCCCACCTTGGGTCACCACTGTCACCCCCTGCTCCTTCCTCTTCCCGCTTTTCCCGGGATCACGGAATGGGTTGGGTGGGAACAACCTCAAAGCTCATCCAACTTTGGGTCCAACCTCTCCTTGACCCTTTGCCGGACATTTGAGTGGACACCACCAGCTGGGGGTGTCCCCACAGACCCCTCAGGGTCGTCCCCAATCCCAACCATTCCAAAAACACAATGGAGGAAAGACATCACCGGGAACGCCGCGTGCATTCTGTCGCCGCCTCGCTCCGCGCATCCGACAGCTCAGGGACACGGCCACGGCCACCACGATGTCCCCAACCCCGAGGAGCCCCCGCGGGTCTCACCTGCGTCTCGGAGAGGTTGAGCTGCCGCGCTAACTCCGTCCTTTCCCGGCCCACCACGTACTGGCAGCGCTGGAATTCCAGCTCCAGGCGGTAGAGCTGCTCCGCCGTGAAGGACGTCCGCGTCCGCTTGGGACGGTCCAGGTCCAGCCCCTTGGGCAGCACGATCTCACGGATCGTCCCTTTGGCATCTGTGAGGAAAACGGGGAAAGCTGTCAGGAAAAAAAAACCCAAAACCGTGAAGGAATCGATCCAAAAATTTAAAAATGCGGTTAACAAGCGTTGAGAAAATGGAGCGTTTCATCCTGGGAATGATAGTTTGGAAAGTGTGGAACAAACAGGAGATTGATGCCAAGGAAGAACTCAAATTAAAGACCATTTGATTATTTTTTAAATTTAATTTTTATATAATTTTTGATGGGGAGATCTGTCAGAGAAAAAATAAGCGAAGGAATCAGTCCAAAACCCAAAAAAATGTGTTTACCGAGGGTTGGGAAAATGGAGCGCTTCATTCTGGGAATAATACTTTGGAAAGCGTGGAGCAAACAGGAGATTGATGCCAAGGAAGAATTCAAATTAAAGATTTTTTTTCCTGCAATTTTAAAAATAATTTTTGATGGGGAGATCTGTCAGGGAAAAAAAAAAGTGAAGGAGCCAGTTCAAAAATTCAAAAATGTGGTTAACAAGCATTGGGAAAATGGAGTGTTTAATCCTGGGAGTAATACTTTGGAAAGCATGGAGCAAACAGGAGATTTACGCCAAAGAATTCAAACTAAAGACTTTTTTACTGTAATTTTTTATATTATTTTTGATGGGGAGAACCATCAGGGACAAAAACAAAACTGAAGGAATTGGTCTAAAAATCCAAAAATGCAGTTAACGAGTGTTGGGAAAATGGAGCGTTTCATCCTGGGAATAATATTTTGGAAAGCCAGGGGCAAACAGGAGACTTATGTCAAGGAAGAATTCGAATTAAAGATTTTTTAAATGTAATTTTAATATAATTTTTGATGGGGAGAACCATCAGGGGAAAAAAAAGTGAAGGAGTGAGTCCAAAAATTAAAAAATGCCATTAACAAGCGTTGGGAAAATGGAGCATTTCATCCTGGGAATAGTATTTTGGAAAGCCAGGAGCAAACAGGAGATTTATGCCCAGGAAGAATTTAAATTAAAGATTATTTTTTTCTGTAATTTTTATATAATTTTTGATGGCGAGAACCATCAGGGAAAAAAAACAAAATGGAAGGAATCGGTCCAGGGGAAAAAAAAAAACAAAACTGAAGGAATCAGTCCAAAAATCCAAAAATTTGGGGGGGAATGGAAAATAAATGGAATTAAAGAGTGGCTGGATGTGCATTATCCATGGAATTCCCACAATCTGGAGCTAAATTGTGGCTCAGTTCTTTCTTCCAGCCCCAAATGCAGAGAGTTTATAAATATCCAGGGAGAGGCGACAACTCTCCATGAATTAGGGGTTTTTAAAGACATAAATAGAAGCCATAAATTTTTTTGGGAAAATGGAGTGTTTAATCCTGGGAATAATAATTTCGAAAGCCAGGAGCAAACAGGAGGTTTATGCCAAGGAAGAATTTGAATTAAAGATATTTTTTAATGCAATTTTAATATCATTTTTGATTTCTGTCCTTCCTCGGGACTGGAAAAATTTCCTCTCTATTACAATTCCCATCTCTCCAGAATTATTCTCACTGGAGGAATATTTCCTTGGAAAGCTCAGCTCCCGTTTTGGGGTGGTTTCCTATTAAAGGACAAGTTTGGGGAGCGCCGTGGGCGCCGAGCTGTTCCCGGCTGTGGATTTTATGAGGTTGGGAATATCCAGGGAAAGAAAACTTTGAGAGTTTGGGTGTGGGAAGTGGCTCATGGCCATTCCAGAGGAGCCTCCATGGCTTCCTTCCCACCAGGAAAGGACAAACTCCACCAAAAAAATCCACAGGAATTCTGTCCCAGCTCCCAGAAATCAAAATGAGCCTTGGGAATCGCCCACTGGGATCTTCCTAGGTCCCAAATCCCGACTGGGTTCGGGTGACCCCTCCCTGCAGGGCTCCCAGGGGCTTTTCCAGAGGGTAAAAATCCAGCCCAAGCCCTGATTTTGGGATGCTGGATCCCAATTCCAGAGGGATCCTGATTGGAGGTCAATGGCTCTCTCTCCATCTGGCTGAGTTGGGCATGAAGGGGTTACAAAATTCCTGGGGTAGGAAGGAGGAAAACAGAGAGGAAGAGCTGGGAATGGGGTGATGGAGATGGGATGGGAGTGGTGGAGATGGGAACGGTGGCACTGGGATGGGAATGGTGGCATTGGGATGGGAATGGTGGTACCGGGATTAGAATGGTGGCACTGGGATGGGAATGGTGGTACTGGAATGGGAATGGTGGTACTGGAATGGGAATTGTGGCACTGGGATTAGAATGGTGGCATTGGGATGGGAATGGTGGTACCGGGATTAGAATGGTGGCACTGGGATAGGAATGGTGGCACTGGGATGGGAATGGTGGTGCTGGGATGGGAATGGTGTTGCTGGGATGGGAATGGTGGTACCGGGATTAGAATGGTGGCACTGGGATGGGAATGGTGGTACTGGGATGGGAATTGTGGCACTGGGATGGGAACGGTGGCACTGGGGTGGGAATTGTGGCACTGGGATCAGAACAGTGGCACTGGGATGGGAATTGTCGCACTGGGATGGGAATGGTGGTGCTGGGATTGGAATGGTGGCGCTGGTATTGGAATGGCGGCACTGGGATCAGAATGGGGGCACTGGGATGGGAATGGTGGTGCTGGGATCGCAATGTTGGTGCTGGGATTGGAATGGCAGTGCTGGGATGGGAGCGGTGGCACTGGAATGAGAATGGCGGCACCGGGATTGGAATGGTGGCACTGGGATGGGAATGGCGGCACCGGGATTGGAATGGTGGCACTGGGATGGGAATGGTGGCGCTGGAACGGGAATGGTGGCTCCGGGATTGGAATGGCGGCGCTGCCATAGGATCAGCAGAGCCGGGATGAGGACAGAAGAGCTGGGATGAAGGTGGCGGATCCAGCACCGGGATGGGAATGGGGACCAAACACCGATTTGGGAAAGGGACCCCAACCCCAGAGCCGCGCTCCCACTGTGGAGCCGCGGGACGCAGCCGAGGCGCCATCCCGGAACGCGGCACCGAAGGAGTCCCGAGGGCTTGGGGACACCCAAGGTGGCACAGGGGGTGGCGGCACCGGACCCACACCCCAAACCCCACGGGCTGGCGTGGAGCTGCCGGGAAGGAAAGGGGCTGTAGGCGGATCAGCGGCTTTTCCGGCGGGATCAGCGCCGGGAACCATTTTGTGTGGGAAGCGCCGTGGTGGTGATGATGCCCAGGCCACGTCCGCACTCCCGTGCCCACATCCGTGCCCACGTCCGTGCCCACGCCACGGGCACGGCACAACAACAGCCGGGAATGCCGGGGACGCTGGATCCAGGGCCGCAGCTGCGGCTTAGCTCCAGCTCGGGCATTATTTATTGTTATTCCCTGGCAGCTGGAGCAGCTCTGCAGGGACGGCAGGGAAAAGGGCACGGCCACGGTGCCAGCTCAGCACAGGGGACACCAAACCCCTCATCCCACCCTACTGACCTTCCCTAGTGGAGGTTTTGGGGTGCTCAGGCCATCTCTTTAGAACCTCCTCTTGAGAGCCTTTTCCCTTTCTGGAGCCCCAAAAATTCCCTGGTCCTGCCCAGGGGGTTCCAGAGCCTTGGACCTCACTGGTGACACATCCTGCCCTTGGGGACCTGGTGGCTCTGGAGCCAGGACACAACTGGGATTGAAATCCCCCAAAAGAGTAGAAGGCACCCAAATCCATGGAGACACCCCATCCTGGCACAGGGACACCCCACGCTGGCACGGGACACCATGATGGCACAGGGACACACCGTGCCCACCTGGGTTCCCGCACCAACACAGCTACCACGACCTTTGGGGTCCCCAAAGGTCCCTGCCAGCCCCCAGGATGTCCCCTCAGTGCCATGGGGTGGCCGTGGTGGCACCAAATGCCACCAGGGTCCCCCCACGTGCTCTGCGGCCACCAGGCCCAGCACAGGGAGGTGACCGAGGGGAGCATCCCGGGATGTGTCCCCAGCCCCGTGGGGCTGCAGTGGCCGCGGGGACACCGGGACCGGCCCCGGGGCTGCCCAGGTCCCTCCTTGTCCCGTTTGTCCCCGGGAGCCACCCCTGACAAGACAGGGGAGGTGACCGGGAGGTGGTCGCGAGGCTCCGTCCTGCACGGACCATCCCCGGTACCCGGGACGAGGGAGAGGACCGAGACCCCGAGAGGACCCTGTCGGTGTGAGGGGGTCACGAGGACCCCCCGACTTCGCCGAAAGCACCGCGGGCGAGCATTGGGGCTGCACCGGGGCTGCACCGGGGCTGGCGGCATCTCCACGGCCGCCGCTCCTCACCGAGGCCGGGGCTGACAAGGCCCCTTTCCCTGGGCAAGCAGCGAGATCAAAACTCAAAATATTAAAAAAGAATTATTTTAAAACATAAAAATGAATATTTTAACCTCCCGCTTCGCACGAAACCGACCGGGAGGCTCTGCCCGGCCCCAGCCACTGCTCGGCCCCGGCCCTGCCCGGCTGCGGGACCGGGTGGGGAGCGGCGGCTCCGTGTCCCCGCAGCCCCGGTGGCCCCGCCACGTTCCCCCCGCTTCTTTTCTGCTCAAGCCCCGGTGATTTGCGGCGTTTTCTCCCCGCCACCATTTTGTCCGCACCGTGGCGGCTGCAGCAAGATGGTGAAACCGGGCGCTCCCGGTGAGGGTCCCCGGGGTCGGCGGGAGCGGAGACCCTGCCCCGGCCTTGGGCACCGACCCTCGCCCCTCTCCCGGTGCCGGCACCGTCGGGGAGGCCTCGGTGGGGCTGGAACCGGCGGAGGAGAGGCCTGACCCCGGCCTGACCCGGTGGGACCGGCGCAGCCCCGTTTGGAGACCCCCGGAACGCGGGGACAGCACGGGCGGGACCCCGGGACTCTTGGCCGGGCGCTGCCCGCTGCTCGGCCGCTGTCCCCGGTTCGGACTGGGAACACCGGGCTGTGGGCGAAGGGCGCCTATCGCGACTACCGGGAGAGAGGCTTGGGTGATGCCCGAGCCCGGGATGACGACGGGACAGGGACCCGGCTCCTGTCCCCGGCAAAGAGCACGGAGGTCACGGCCGCCGCTCCGCTCCCTGCCCGAGCGCTGCGCTGGGCACCGGGAGGCCTCGGCCCTGAGCGCCGAGCGGCCGCCGAGCCGCTCCGGGCTCCGGCAGCGGCGGAGGAGCGGCGGGGACGCGGAGCATCCCCGGGATCCCGGAGCGCTCGGGACCCGCCCGCCTGCGGCAGCCGCGCCAGGGCGCCCCAAACTTCTCGGGGTTCGCCGCAAGGCAGAAGTGGTCCCGGCGAGTCCCGGGCCGGCGGGGACTGAGTGCGGGCGGTGGGATGCGGGATGCGGGATGAGGGATGCGGGACGCGGCGGCTCCGGGGAGCGCCGAGCCGCAGCCGGGGCCCAACGGGTGATATTATAAAGGGGAAAGGAAAAAAAAAAATAAACCCCCCCTCGCCCGCCGCCGCTCCGTGACGCTTTTCTCCTGCGACATCGCTCCCAACGCCGAGCCGATGCTGTCCCCCCTCTCCCGCCGCCCGCGCGTCCCCCGCGGGGCTCCGGCGGCTCCGTGACCCCGGGGCCGTTCCCCCGGAGCCCGCTGGGCACGGCCCCGCTCCGAGCCCGCTGCCGGCCGAGCCGCGCTGGGGCAGCGGGCCCGCTCCGTGCCGCGCTCCGCGGAGCCGGGGCAGGAGCGGCGGGGCCGGGAGGCCGGAGGTCGCAGCCGGGAAGCGCCCGGGATGCGCTGGAAGCGGTGCCGGGGATGCCCCGTGCCCGGAGCGGGAATCCCGGGGCGGGGGAAGCGGAGACGGGAGCGGGGAGCGTGCCCGTACCTCGCACCAGGATGCGGCGGCAGTAATCCGCCTCGCCGGTCCCCGACGGACTCTCGGTGTCCGGGGCGCACTGCTTGGAGGAGCCGGGGCTGACCGCCGACGTTCCCGGGATGTCCTTGAAGCCGCCGGCGGTTCCGCCGCTGCCGCCGCCGCCGCCGCCGCCGCTGGCGCGCAGGGCGCTCTCCAGCTCCGCCCGGGTCGGCAGCTTCTCCCGGGCCCGCCCGGTGGCCGCGGGCTCGGCCAGCAGCACGGGGCTCCCGCCGGGCTCGGCCCCTCCATCGCTCATCCCTGCGGGCGCCGCGGCGGGATCAAACATCAGGAGGCAGAGAGAGACACGGGGAGAGGGAGAGAGGAGGCAAGGCTGGGCGGGGGGGATGGGAGGGAGCCCCCCCGCCCCCCCACCCTCCGCAGACCCCTTCCCCTCCCCGCCCCTCTCCGGCCCCCCCGGGGCTCGGCTCACCCCCATGGCCGGGGACCGCCGGGGGCCGCCGCCTGTCGCCTGTCGCCCTCTCCCAGCCGGGGGCCCGGCATTTAAAGCGCACCCCCCGCTCCCCGCCCCGCCGGCCGGGGGTGGTGCCGGGGGTGGGGGGGACCCGTCGGGGCGTCCCGAGAGGGTGCGAGGCCGGGGGGGAGAAGGAGTTTCAAACTTTGACAGGCGGCGGAGTCCCCCCCGCCGCGCCCCCTCCCCAGCTCCACCTCCCGCCGCACCTCGCTCCGGGCAAACTTCAGGCGCTCCGGTGGCCGCCGCCGCTGCCCTTCCATGGAGCGCCGGTAGCGGTGCGGGTGCCGCTGTCGGTGCCGGTAGCGGCGGGAGCGGGCGGCGGGAGAGCCGCCGGCGGTGCCAGGGCTCGCCGCGCCGCGCTCGGGATTCGCGTGCGGGGGAAATCAATACCGGGAGATTGGGGGCGATGATTTTAGGGGGGTGGTGGGGAGGGAGGTGGGGTGAGGGGGGGGGCGGGAGGGGAAAGGGAGGCCGAGGGGAGGGAGCTGCGGAGGAAGCCGCCGGGGGTGGGACCGGCGAAGAAGCCGGGTCCTTATTCCTCCGGCCCGGCCCTCCCCCGCCGCCGCCGCGCTCCGCTGCGCATCCCCCGGCGGCCGCCGCTGTCGGAGCCGGCAGCGGGGAGCGGGCGGCCGAGCCCCCGCCGCACCGGGGAGCGGCTGGGGGCGAGCGGGGGGCGAGGAAAGAGCCGGTTTTAAATTAACGGCTCGGTACAGACGCAATTTCCTGCCCTCCCGTTCCGTGACACCGATTGGTAAACAAAGAGCCCCTCGGCGGCCGCTGCCCGGCTCCGACAGCGGCGGCAGCGGCGGCGCCTCCGGTTCCCGGTTCCTTCTCGGGGGGCTCGCCCTGGAGACCCCCGCCCTGCAAGGTGGCAACGAATAAAGAAATCCCCCGGCCCCGGCGGGCGCTGCCCCTCCCCGGGCCGGGCGGCGGTCGGGGGGCTCCGGTCCCGCTTCCCCGCGCTGCCCCGCCGCTACCGGAGAGTCCCCGCTGCTACCGGGGTTACCCCACTGCCGCCCCGGGATGGGGCAGCGGGGGAGCCCCGAAATTCTCTGATCCGACACAGCAGCTTCCGGGTACCGGCGCCGACACCGGCACCGAGCGGGGCGGCTCCCGGTTTCCAGCTGGGAGTGCCGGACCCGGTGTGTGCGGGGGCGTCCCGGGGGTCTCCTCCGCCTCGGGGGGCTCCGTTCCGTCCCTGTCGTTACAACGGGGACAAAACCGGGCGGAAAAAGCGGCGGCAGCGGCCGCGGTGCTTCCCCGGGGGCGGCCGCCCCGCTCCCCGGTACCGTCTGGAATCGGAACGGTTCTAACGGCGGCGGATTAAAAATAAATAAATTAAATTTAAACATAAGCAACCCCGAGATTTCTCAGACCCTGCGCTCCGGCGCACCCATGGCCCGGTACCGGGCGCCGCCCCGGGCTGGGGGTCCGCAGGGGTCTGGGTACGGCCCGGGCACCGCGTAGAGCCCGGTAGAGGCGGGAGGTGCCCGGTTCGGGCTCTGGAGGGCACCGGGAGTTCAAGGCCTTGGGCTGCAGTGGCCGCTGGATGTCCGAGCCCGCCGCGGCCTGGGCCCGTCCCTGAAGTAACCGGGACAGCATGGGGAAAACAGCAGGAAAAAAATAAAATTCGAAAGGAAAAAATAAAAATAAAAGGAGAACTAAACCTGTAGGGATAAGGAGGGTAAAAGGAAAGAAATCAAAAGAGCGGAAAGGGGAAGGAAATAAAGCGAACGAAAAAGGCCGAGCGGGGAGAGCGCAGGGGACGGGCCCTGCCCAAGGCCGGGGGTCCCGGGCCGCAGCCCCGGTTCTGCGGGGCCCGGAGGGGCGAGCGGGGATGGAGCCGCCGCTCCGGGGAAGGTGCTGGCGGTCGGAAACGATTCCCGGTTCCCCGCTCCCCGTTCCCGGTTCCTTGGTGCCGGTTCTCCCCTGCCGGGGCTGCAGCAGGGCCGGGCCGGACAGCCGGACAGCCGGACAGCCGGACAGCCGGACAGCCGCACAGCCGCACAGCCGGACAGCCGCACAGCCGGACAGCCGCACAGCCGGGCTCCGCCGTGCCCCGCCACCGGGCCCGCTGGTGGATGCGCCACCAACCAACGATTTTTAACGAAAACGAGGAAAATTACCCCAAACCCAGCCCGCCCTGCGGCCTCAGCCCCTCGGGGCCGCAGGGAGAGGCTGCGGGCCGGTCCCCACCGGGAAGACGGAGGGCGGCGATCGCCCGGGAGCTGCTGGAACGAAAATTCCTCCTTTCGCCGAGCGCCGGCCCCGAGCGGCGGCTGAGGCCGCGGAACGAGCGGCGGAGAAGCCGCCCCGGTGCCCGCTAAGCCGCCGGTGCCCGCTCAGCCCCCGCCGCCTCCTCACGGCTCCCGCTCCTCTCCTGCTGTTGTTGTTTTTTTGTTTTGTTTTGATTTGTTTTGGTTTTTTCCCCGTTATCCCCACGATTAACGTGAATAATAACGAGAAGATTTGCTCCGGGAGAAGGGGAAACGGGGAAAACGGGGAAATACCCGGTGCGAGCTGCCGGGAAGGGGAAGCGAGGAAATCCGCGAGTACCCAGATCCTCAAAACCAACAATATTATAAAAATAACCCTAATTTTAAAATCCCATTTTTTGCTGTCTGGTTGTTGTTGTTTTCGGGGCGGGTTCAGCGCTGTTGTTGTTGTTTTAATTAGCGTTAATATTAGCGGTATTAATGTCACTATTAGCCTTGCTATTATTAGTGCCGTTCCTATTCCTATTATTAGTCCTATTAACGCCATAATTAGTCCTTATCAGCACCATTTATCGGTGTTTTTATTATCGATATTCCCGTTTTTTCTCGCTGCCGAGCACACCCAGCCCAGCCAAGGCCGGCCCGGGGTGGGAGCGGCCGCGCTCTCCCGGTGCATCCCCGTTCCCGCCGAGCCCCCGGGCCCGCCCCGCCGCATCCTCCGCTTCTCGCCGCTCCGGGAGCGAAAAAACCCCGCGGAATTCCTCGATTTTCCCGGTTTAGAGCCGGATCCGCGCCCTCCCTGTTCTCCCGGTGCCCCGGAGATGGAGGTAAGGCCGGGCTCGGTGCGCTCGGCCCCGGGCCTGGCTGCGGGAGCGGAGCCGGCGCTTTCCCCGGTACCGGACCGGCCGCTCCCGGTGGGTCCCGGGCTCGGAGGGCACCGGGAGTTGGGGAGGGGACATTTCTGCTTGTCCCCGCCAAGGAAAGGCTGGCCTGGGGACAGCCCCGGGTGGGGACCCCGCCGAGGGACCCTCGGGCCGGGCTGGGCCGGGAGAGAGCGGCGGGGCCTCGGAGGGAGCGAGGACAGTGTGGGAACACCGGGGACAGTGTGGGGACACCGGGGGACAGTGTGGAAACAACGGGGGAGTCTGACAACACGAGGGGACACTGAGGGAGTGAGGGGACACGGGGGAACCGTGAGGGGACATCGGGGACCGTGAAAACACGGGGGGACACTGAGGGGACACCGTGGGGACAGTGTAGAAACAACGGGGGAGTGTGAAAACACGGGGGGACCCTGAGGGGACACGGGAGTGTGAGGGGACACGGGGGGAATATGCAGGGACACGGGGGGACTGTGAGGGGACACGGCAGGACTGTGAAAACACGGGGGGACACTGAGGGGACACCGGGGACTGTGAGGGGACACGGAAGGACACTGAGAAGACACGGGGAGACTGCGCGGGGACACAGGACTGTGAGGGGACACGGGGGGAACTGTGAAAACTCGGGGGGACACTGAGGGGACACCGGACTGTGAAGGGACACGGAGAGACTGTGAGGGGACACCGGGGACGGTGAAAAGAAACGGGGGGACATTGAGGGGACACAGGGGAACAGCGTGGGGACACGGGGAATTTTGTGGGGATACGGGGGGACCGTGAAGGGACACGGCAGGACTGTGAAAACACGGGGGGACACTGAGGGGACAGCGAGGACTGTGAAGGGACACGGAAGGACACTCAGAGGACACAGGGTTACTGCACGGGGACATGGGACTATGAGGGGACACAAGGCACTGTGAAGGGACACGGGGGAACTGTGGAAACGCGGGGGGACTGTGAGGGGACATCGGGGACTGCATGGGGACACGGGGGAATTTTGTGGGGACACGGAGGGACCGTGAAGGGACACGGAGGGACTGTGAAAACACGAGGGGACTGTGAGGGGACACCGGGGCACAGCGTGGGACACGGGGGGAGTGTGAAAACACGGGGGGACACTGAGGGGACACAGGACTATGAGGGGACACGGGTGGAAAGTGCAGGGACGCGCTGGGACCGTGGAGGGACACGGGGGAACTGAGAAAACACGGGGGGACACTGAGGGGACACCGGGAGCTGTGAAAACACGGGAGACCGTGAGGGGACACCAGGGACTGTGAGGGAACACGGGGGAATTTTGTGGGGACACAGGGGAACTGCAAAGGGACACGGCAGGACTGTGAAAACACGAGGGACCGTGAGGGGACACCGGGGACTTTGAGGGGACACCGGGGAACCGTGAAGGGACACGGGGGGACTGTGAAAACACGGGGGACACTGAAGTGACACTGAGGGCTGTGAGGGGACACGAAGGAACCGTGAAGGGACACCGGGGACTGTGAGGGGACACGGGGGAATTTTGTGAGGACACGGCGGGACTGTGAAAACACGAGGGGACACTGAGGGGACAGCGAGGACTGTGAGGTGACACGGAAAGACACTGAGAGGACACGGGAGGACTATGAGGGGACACAGGACTCTGAAGGGACACGGGGGGAACTGTGAAAACTCGGGGGGACACTGAGGGGACACCGGGAGCTGCGAGGGGACACCGGAC